CGCACGCACGGACACACACACACACACACTCTTTTACTTTCACAGTGGTCGTACAATGAAGCCTGCTAACTCAATGCCTGCTTAACACAGATCAGGCTTACAGTGCTGAACCGAAAAAATCAAGAAAAGACACAACAACATGTCCCGTACCAGAAAAACCGATCATGGTACTGATAATGAAACATCCTTCAACCTGAATCTTCAAGCCCTAAACCCGAAAACCCTGAACCTGTAGACCCTGAATCCTAAACACTCCCACTCCCTGAAGCCCCAAAACCCAAAATCTTAAGCCCCGAACCCTGAAACCCCAGTAAACCCCCCGGTGCTTGGGGAGCCAGACCGCGATTTCATGCTGGTCGTTGAAGCGACCTTTGTCTCACCTCGGGGCTTCAGAGGTTGGCGGTTGGAGGCGCTGTGGCATTTAAAGGGGGGGTGTTTGGGGCTTTCTGTGGCTTTCTTGTTGTGGAGCACCCTGAAAGGCTTAGGACGCTGGATGGCTTGTGCTTGAAGGTGCAATGCAATCAACAGTCAAGGGGCCTCAGTCTTCGGGATGTAGGGTTCACTGGTTCGCCGGTCAAAGGGACCTGGCTGAAGCAGCTGGCAAGTGTGCATCTGGGGTCTCGGCCATTCCCGCTGCCGAGCACCTCAACTGCAGCTCTGCAGTGCAAATCACCGAAGTTGCACGTGCAGCGCAACCTCAGCTCCCTAATGCCCTAATAACTCCCAACAACACGAAGTGTGTAGCAGTGTAGCAGAAGCAGGAATGCTTCCATCCGGCTTCACGAGATGCCGGGTCATGGACCGCCAGAGCCAGCAGAAACTCGGCATGCAGCTCCGGACGCTGCCTCAACTTCATGTCATTTCAGGAACAATCCTTCTACCGAGAACTGTTGCTCTACCACTACCTCTGGCACTCAAGATAGACTAGTGTGGTTGTTTCTGTGTCATGTGACCGGATCTTTTGGGCCTCTGGCCTGAGAATCCTGAGATTCCAGGGCCTACTTCGTGCTGTTGAATGCCAGTACGTCCTGCATGAAGCTCATTGCAAAGCTGCTGTAACTTTGCCATCCTCACCGAATTCATGGACACACGACGTCCTTGCAGAAACGCTGCAAGCGGAGGGAGTCATTGAAGCTCGTGGAAAAGAGCTAAAAGCACCTAACTCTGTCCTTCGGGGCTGAGTGCCGCACTCCAAGAAGAGCCAGGGACCCTCGCCCCCTGCTCTCAGCGCGATGGAGCGGTCCTTCCAACAAAAGCCCGAGCTCTCTTTTCGGTCAGGGGCTACCCCAATTTAAACTCAATTTAGGCCCCCCCAGGGTTTAGGGTTTAGGGAAACCCAACGGGCCGCCGCCTGCTCCTCATCAGAAAGCGAGGTAAGGGGGCCTCGTGACGCGCATGCGCTGAAAGGCTCTGCTGGAGCCGACTTGCAGAGTCTCAGCCCGCAGCTGCTTTCACCCAGCTCAGCCAGTGGCCCTGCGCAGGCCTGCGAGACTTCTCAGCCGAAAGTCGCCGAATCCAAAGATGGCTTTGCGTCCCGCCTGAACTTTGACCAGCTCTGCGCTGCAAACCTCGGCTCCTGCCTCCTGTGCGGAAGAGGGGCAGGGACGTGCGTGGAAGACTTTCTGAATTGCACGACGGCGAACCCCAAACGGAAGAGCCAAACCAGAACAATACTTAGACTTGGCTTTGACGTCAGGAGCCACGACGAAGGGACACAACGGGAGACAAGCATCGAAAACCCTGGCATTGGCCACTCACACCACAAAACGCGGGTGTTGCCTTTAGTCCCTTTTCGACTGTTTGCACCTGTTTCTTTAGTCGTTGTCAACTTTTCTAGTCTCTCGACCGGTTTGCTCCATCCTGTCTCGCCCATTTTCTAGCCCCTTAACCCTCTTCTTCAAATTCTCCTCTTGGTCAAATTGTCTTGCCTCCTTCCAGCGGTTTGCTCCTGGTTGTTCAAACTTGTGATTACGCTCGGTTCTCTAAACTCTTTCGAGTGGTTTGTGCCGAAATATTGTGTAATCCCGTTCGGCTCCTCTTCGCAAAGTCTCCTGCTTTTTAATTTGCCTGATCTCTTTCGTCCAACTCTTCTCTAGTCGCTCGAGTGGGCTGCTCCAATTTCTCATCTATCCTGCGAAATTGTCCTCCATCTTTCTAGCTGCTTGCGTGAACTTGTCAAATTGCCGAGTCTCGTTCGACTCGTTTGCTTTCTTTTCGTATTGTCTAAAGAACTCTAGTCTGTCGCGAGCGAGCTCTAGTCTCGGAGTCTAGTTCGAGCGGTTTGCTCTTTATTTTTGGGCATCTCCAGTCTCTCTCGAGTTGATTGTTCTTCGGCTCTCAATCTTTAAATCTGCTAGCACGGGTTTGCTCCTCACGCGGATTCTTTTTATCTAACGGTGTTCGATTGTTTTGCTCTTCTTTCTAGAATTATCCTTCGAAAGCGGTGTGCTGCTGCTTCTGGATTTGTCTGGTCCCTTTCGGCTGTTTTGTCCTCCTTTCAAAGTCTTCAAACATCTTGAATTTGTTCGTTTCTTTGTTTCGAGCGTGCTTCTCTGTGTAAATAAATGTTCCTTGTGCTCGATCGTCGCGCTGCTCTTTCGCAAGTCCTCTCATCACCGGCCAACTTTATTGTCCCTTTCGACTGGATAGGGTCTTTTTCTTAAACCCTCTTTTTGCGGAATTGCCCTGTCCAGTTCGAGCGTTTTGCTCCTGCTTCTCAAACTTTTGAATCTGGTTCGAGCCCTTTGCTTATGCTTCTCATTCTTTCCAGTCCTTTTCGACCGTGTTGCTCCTATTTGTCAAATTCTCCTCTTTGCCAGATTCCGCAACTTCTTTCCAGCAGTTTGCTCATGGCTTTTTCTCTGGCCTTCAATTTGTTTGCTCCCTTTCGACAGGTTTGCTCTTGGCTCTCAACGCCACTTCGAACGTGCTGCTCCTGTTTCTCAAACGTTCTCCTCCCTTTCGTCTGGTTTGCTCCGGTTTGTGTCCATTTCCTTAGCCTTGTTCTCAGATTCCTTAATCTCTTTGGACCCGTTTGCTCCTGCTTCCCAAATTTATTCTCAAAGATCTCTCTGGGTCAAAGTCTCTGGTCTTGCTCGACCGGTTTATTCTTCCTTGTGAAATTTTCTCATGTGATTTGGCAACTCTCATGAACCATTGGTCTTTGTCAACTTGTCTGCCCTCTCTGAGCGGTTCGCTGCTGTTTCTCAAACGTTCTAGTCCCTTTCGACGGGTTCCTCTCTCTGCTATTTTCTAGTCCCTTTCTGCGAGTTTGCTCCTTTTTCTCAAATCCTCCTTTTCGTCCAATTCTCTCCGACTCGCTAATGTCGCGCGACCACTTTGCTCATGTTTCCCAAGTTTGGGGGTCCCTTGTCGACTGGTCTCCTCCTCTTTCTCTGAGTCTCCTCTTTGTCAAGCTACATGTATCTGGTCTCGTTCGAGCGATTTGGTTTGCTTTCTCGGATTCTAGAATGCAACTCGATTGGGCTGATCTTTCTCAAGCTATCCTGTTTGGCAAAACTAGAGAGAGAGAGAGAGAGA